CCCTCTCTCTTCCTCTCTGTAAAAAAATCAATTAAAAAAAAAAAAAAAAGCCTAAGTGAAGGGCCAACCTGTCAGTAGCTATGACATGCACTGACCACCAGGGGGAAAACACAATGCAGGAACTGCTGAGCAACAGCAACTTTGCAGAGTGCTCTCTCAAAATCCAGGACCCCTCGGGATGTCAAACTACCAGTTTCAGCCCAATCCCCGCAGGCCCACTGGTGCACAAATTCATGCACCAGGCCTCTGATATATATAAAATTTATTTCAGAGAGGAAGAAAGAGATAGAAACATCAATGATGAGAGGGAATCATTGATTGGCTGCCTTCTGTATGCCCCTATCAGGGGACTGAGCCCAAAACCTGAGCATGTGCCCTGACCAGGAACCAAACCCTGACCTCCTTGTTCATAGGTCAACGCTCAACCACTGAGCAACACTGGCTGAGCTGGAAAAGGCTCTGTGTTGCAAGTCTGAACTCCTGACCATACAGCACATTGGCGCTCCAGAGACTGAAGAGCACAGTAGGATCCACAATTACCAGCAAACACCACCGTCTCCTGAGCTGGACTGGGGCAACAGCACCACATCTCCTCAGAGCCTGTGTCCAGAGCTTTGAGGAGGTAACCTGAGCAGCAAAGGGAGCCCTCATGCACATTGGAACCAGAATCAACGTAGATGAAGAGACACCAAAAAGCAGCTTCCTTTCAACCATCTTAATAGGGATGTTAAGGCCAAAACGTCTGCTTTCCTGCTGTGTCCTAGATAAAACGGAAGCAGGTGCCAGCTCTCAGGTGAGTCTCATCTAAGTTTTCTTCTCCAAGTGGTGGTTGAACAGTGACTCAGGTAACCTCCAGCTGAAAGGCGGCCCGTTTCAGCCCTATTCCTCCCCCGTCTGGGAAGCTTCCAGGGGCACCACTCACAGCCTTCCTCTCTCCAGCTTCTAACCAGTTGAGAAACACACACAAGAAGTCTGACTGTGACAAAAGGACAATAGCTACTTTAATACTAGTGAAGCTGTTGAAAAAAATCAAAACAGATTTCCACACCCCTAGGAAAAGTCTGATTGTCTCACACTACCACTCACCTTGGTGGAAGGCGCTTACAAACCCACCAATCAATGTCAGCCCCTTACTCAAAGACAACCAATCACAGACTCATCCCAATAAATATGCCACAGTGACCACCAAATAGGAGCTTTCCCTGAGTAACCAGGCTCCTGCAGAAGATGTCTTTGCCTCTTAAACTTTCGCAAATCCTCGAGTCCCTGAACTCCATACCTTCCCCTATACAACCCTGTCAGCAGTTTTATTTGCAGTGCACTCAGATAAACTGTGCCTTTTTACTAAGGTTAGCAATCAATTCGATTTTGTTATTTTATTTTAAGTATTGAGTGAGGGTCACATCATCCGTTGACACCTTGAACATAAGACTATGCATGAATATAACATCCTCAGGCAGCAGCAGGGAGAGAAGTTCTGTTGGCTAACTACATAGAGTAGCCATGGAAAGCCTCAGCATCCTCTTACTGATGTGATATGCAGCAGGAAGGGGGAGAAAGATTATTAGGGGAATCCGGTTTTCATTGTCCAATTGGCTGTGGAGTGGAATGTCCCCTGGACTCTTTCCATCTGGCCAAGCTTATTACAGTAGCTACTTCTTGAGGCAGTCACCAATGGCCACGGATTTAATCAATCATGACTAAACATTGAAGCCTCCATAAAAATCTAGAAGTACAGGTTTCGGAGAGATTCCAGGTTGGTAAACCAGAACCCAACCATGGGCCACGGTGCTGGTCCTCAAACTCCATAGACACAGAAACTTCTTTGTTTGAGACTTTACCCCATGCACCTCTTCCTCTGGCTAAGGATTCGTATCCTTTCATGCTTTGCATTAAACCAGTAATCCAGTGAATAAACTGGTTTCCTGAGTTTCATAAATCGCTCTAGCCAATTCATCCAACCCAAACCCGAGGAGGGAGTCCTGGGAACCTGTGATTTATAGCCAGTTGGTCAGAAAACTGGTAACAAGCTGGATTTGTGATTGGCATCTGAAGTGGGGGAGGAGGGTAATCTTGTGGGACTGAGCTTGTGGAATCTGATGCTATCTCTGGGTTGAAGTGTGGGACACTCAGTTAGGATTGAAGAATTACTTGGTGGAGTGGGGAATATTACCCACATATTGGAATTGGTGTCAGAATCATGCTTTTTATTGATTTTAGAGAGAGAGGAAAGGAGAGGGAGAGAGAGATGGAAACATCAATTGATTGCCTCCTGCACCTCCCAAGACCCAGGCAATCCTTTACTAGGGATTAAGCCCAAGACCTAGGCATATACCCTGGCCAGGAATCAAATGGCAACATTTTGGTCCATGGACAACATTCAACCAACTGAGCCACACCAGCCAGGTCTATAGAAGTCCTAATTATATAGAATCTCAGCTTTCTCAGCGTTCTGGTTACCTCACAATAGGATTTTATATGTGACGATAAGCACAGTAAAATGCATTATGATTTTCATGAAATGTAACCTTTGTGACTTATAAGGGTAGAAACACAATCTTTTGTTCCCATCTCAGACCTCAGAAGTTGCCTGCTTGATTTGCTTAGAATTTTAAGTTACAGTAATTTCTTCTGAGCGAGTCCCCAGATCAGTCCCCATTGCACACCCAAGTTGCTTCATTTCAGTGGAGCCATTGCCTTGGTTTGCAAAGTTTAGTCTGGCATCAGTATGAGTTTCACAATGTTTAATACAGTCTTTCTTATTTTTTCACTAAAATTAGCAAAAATAAATTTAGCTTAAGCAAAAATAAATTTTGCTTAGGTAGAAGATTGGAACACTCCAGGGTTTGCCAGTCTTAAATTATGTAAGTTTTCAAGTACTTTTCTTTCTTTTGCACTCATTACCACCTCTTCAAGAGAAGTAAAGGTGAAGCTCCAGAGTTCATTGTAGCTCTACAAAAGAATGGCTAGGGGCCATAGAAGATTAAACTTGATTAAAATAGGCCTTGCAATTGTATTCATCTCTTGAGCTATCTTTACCTCCCACAAGCACTGCATTTAATCAGCAGGCTGGTCATTCATATCAGAAAACAAAAGAATTACTAGATTTACACTTAAAGAATAAACCATGGCTGTGACTTCAAAACAAAACAAAAAAGGGCTTATATAATTATTATCCAAAATAAAAATGATTAATGTGTCTCAAACCTAGCCCACATTTTGGTACCGACTGTGGTAGCCCAGAGTTTCCAGGACTCACTCATTGCCTTGCTACCTGACTTCCCCTGACAGAGCACTTGTAAATTCACACAAATGCTGAAGCTAGATTTTAACCCAGATGCAGTTTAATTTCCCAGAAGCCTTTGTTATCATTGACAATATTATCCTGTCCTTACACAGTGAAATATATACTTGGGTACCAAGGTTCTTGATTTCCTTGTACATCCATTTACATGTAAATTGTTGTTGATAAAATAATATATTTTATTGAATAAATAAGCAGCAGCTTCTGGCCAAGATGGCAGTGCAGATAGGTACTCTCTGCCTCCCACAACCACATCAAAATTTACACTTAAAATGCAGAACTACTATCATTCTGAACCAACTGAAATCTAGTTGAAAGGAAATCCTACAACTAGGAAATTAAAGAAGAACCACATTGAGACTGGTAGGAGGGGCAGAGATGCAAGGTGGAATCATGGAACTGGCCACTTGTGGTGGTTTAAAATCAAGAGGGATACTTTGGCTGTGGAAGTTTTCCTGAGGAGTAAAGAGTCCCTCCCCACACCAGGCCCAAGTGCTGGGAAAAGTCCCCATAACTTTGGGCTGTAAAAACCTGTGGAGATTGTGGCTGAGTGGCACAGAGGCTGCAGGAGTCCTAGGCAGTTTCTCTTAAAGGGTTTACTCACGGACTTACTCGGACTCACTTCCTCTGAGCTCCAGCCCCAGGATAGCAGCTTGACAGGAACCTGGGACATTCAGGGAGGAACTAACTTATCTGGGCAAGAACTAGAGGAGCAGCTTTCTCCAAAAGAAGTGCTGGCAGAGGTCAGTGTTCATTTGCTGAGCCCTCTCAGCCACAGAGCTGACAGACTGCATCATATTGAATCTCCATCAGCCTGGCTCACACTTTTTGCACTAACCCCTCCCACAGTGATTCCCTGAGACCTTACCCCACCCTACTTGCAGGCTCATCCAAGCCACTTCCAGGTGCTTTTCCATATACCCAGCCTCTCTTGCCTCATGCTTTGGACTTTGCTAAAATCTCCCAAATAAGCAGTAGCTGGAATCAGCATTCCTCATAAATCTCAATAAGTGGCCCTATGCCTGGCACTAGTTCACAACTTGGCCTCTCCTGGGCACTTCTAAGCTCAACACAAGTAGCAGCCATTGCATATTGCTTTGTAGCTCACGCTGGGTGGCCCTGGGTAGGGCTCAGGCAGAGGCTGACATTGCACCTCCTGGGAGGCCCCAGAACCAGTGCAACTTGTGGTCAACTTCGACCATGCCAGATGGAGAAAGATAAATATCATAGGATCTCACTCACCCCCAGCCACTGTATATGCAAATTAACCTTCCATCTTTGTTGGTTAATTTGCATATTCACTCCTGATTGGCTGGTGGATGTCACAAAGGTACAGTCAATTTGCATCTTTCTCTTTTATTAGTGTAGATATGCATTACCTATGGACACAGACAATAGGGTGTTGAAGGCCTGGGAAGGGGCAGGAACTGGGTGGAGAGGGTAATGAGAAAAAAAGGGGGATAGCTGTAATACTCTCAACAATAAAAGATTTTTTTTAAAAGAGTATCAGTCCCACATTTCTACTTCCATTCATATAATGATCATTACATATTTATGCCTGTTTTGTGTGGCACCTTATAATCTTCCCAGAATTCCTAGGTTACATGAATTCTATTATTCTGTGTAACTATATTGTTACCAAACTCAAGGTGTTCACCACTTGGGGTGCTCTATTCACGAACTAGATGTGGTTGTTGCAAGGTAATTTTATTTAAATTCCTGAAAGGAAAGGAGACAGGAGATTCATATCCAAAGCTCCCCGTTAACCATTGCTTATATATATTATTTTGTTGATTTCTTCTTTGCAGTTGGCTAAATTTATCCTGTCAGGCTCATCCTGTTTCCAGCTGCACCTGCAAAATACCGTGCAACATTTTTACATTTAGGAAGAATAATATTTAGTCATAACATTTAGAATTGCCTAGACCTTGAGACGTTGGTCCTATCTAACAATATCAAGAGAATGGTATTAGGGGGCATTTTGAAAGGATTACCAGAATTGCACATAATTGCTGGTTGTATCACTATGGGAAACCACATGTAAAGTATCAAGAAGGTTACCACTATAAGCAAATTCTGACTCAAATTATTGCAAAACATTACTAGATTTGGGTGAGGTTTCTAGAGGAAGGGTGCAGCCAGTTAGTCAAGCAACATTTACTGAGAACCCACTGTATACAGATTATTGGTATGTGCTGGTGAGGAAACAGAAACCAAAAAGCAGAAGAAAAAAAGAAGAAAGGAAATACTGTTGATGCAGCATGTTATGGTGAATAGAAATGATGGTTTTAGTTGGTGGAGAGGGCCTAGAATTTAGGGAGAAACAAAGATCTCAAAGTGGAAAGAACAGGATATAGAGTTAGATGCTGGGGTTCCAATTCCAATTCAGTCACTTTGGCTCTAACCAGCCTTGGACAGATATTTAGTCTTCGTTTTGTCTCCTGTAAAATGTGTATAATAACGCAGATAAGTCCTTCATGAGGTTGCAATGAGAACAATGAAACAATGACTTGTAAACTGTAAAAGGGTGGAGTGAAGCCTTAACAGGAGCAGAGCCTAACAGGAGCCATCTTGGGAGCAAGAAGTCTTCGGTTTGCTGAAGAGCCCTCCCACCTGCCTTCAGCCTATCATCATCCTCACCTTTTGTAGACTGTCAACAACATCTGCAGGAGTTATTTAAGAGAATATGTTGTAGTTCAAGAAAGGATCTCAGAACATCAAGTTGCAGTTTGTTTTAAAGACCATAGGTGGGGCAACTTTGGCTAAGGAGGCTTACTGAAGAGACGTCTGGCATTTTTTTTTTTTTTTTTTCTATTAAAAGAAACATGGAGGCGGGGGTGGAAGGAAGATGTCTGTTAAAAGATAATCCATTTTTTTTATCCGCACAAGGGTTGCATTTACGATTAAAGTAAACGTCTAGTATCTAGGAAAGAAAATATACTAAGTGCACAGAAAATGAAGGACCAAAGGGTAAACCACAGTGAAGCTTAGCCATTGTTCTCTTAAGGACTTCTGCCTGGAGCTTGCTCCTTCTTTTAAGGTAAGTTGTAGGGTTCTACTTTTCATTCTTGAATACTTCAGCTAATGCAGAGCACCCTGCTTTGAAAAGGCCCTCCCCTTCCTTGAAGTGAACTGTGTGTGAGAACTGAACTGTGCAGAGTCAGCATGGACTCTTCACAATAGCTGCTTAAGGGATTGAAGGCTCAGGTCAAGTTCTTTCTTTTATTTGGAAAGGAAAACATACTATTTCTTGGTTTTAAGGATGTCAGATTCAAAACTATCTACCTTTGAGGCTTCTACCAGAAACAGCTTCCTTCCAACACCCAGTCCTGGGTGATGAGACTTCATGAGGGCCTAGTCACAATGGAAGTTTGGTGTTTGTTCTCTCTTGAAAACAAAATAGATGCTTTTAATGTGGAAAAAACAACAACAACAACAACAACAAAAAACCAGGACCAGTGCTTTTTCCTGCATGTACCAGCAAGTTTTCCCTTCCTGCTCTCTGCTCTAATGGACTATGAGCTCTTTTCACACTCTATGAACATCTACCACATTACTTAATAATGGTGCATGTGAAGTTATTTAAACCCTCACATGTGTTATTTACATGAAGCTGTCAGATTCATTTTTAGACATATTTCCTTTTATTTACTTCTTTTTTTAATTTTTTGTTAATCCTCACCCAAGGATACTTTTCCATTGATTTTTAGAGAGAGTGGAAAAAATGGAAAGAGATGCAGAGAGATAAACTACGATGTGAAAGAGACAAATCAATTGGTCACCTCCTGCCCAAGCCCCAACCAGAGCCAGCAACCAAGGTACATGCTCTGACCAGGATGGAACCCAGGGCTCTTCAGTCCATGTGCCAATGCTCTATCCACTGAGGCAAATAGGCTAGGACTGTAGACATATTTCTGATGATGGCATATCACTGCTCAAAAGTTTAGTAGAAAAGTCAATTCTCTACTAAACAAAGTATTTTAAAATACATATCTATCCATCTTCATTGACATATAACATTGCATTATTTTTAGTTTACAACTTGCTACGCAATATGTGGTGTTCAGACCAATCACCTGGTAGTTTGCTATAAATGCAGATTCTCCAGGCCCATTCTAGACCTACTCAGTCAGCAAGAATCCTAGCCAAGTCATACAAGTATAGACAGTTTGACTGCATCATAGCTCTCTTGCTAAACTTTAAGCTTCAGAAATAGGGTTGCCAGATTTAGCAAATAAAAATGGCAGATGCCCAATACAATTGGAAAACAATGGATGATTTTTTTAGTGTAAATATATTTCAAATGCTTCATGGGATATAATTAGGCTTAAAATATATATTCATTGTTTGTGTGAAATTCAAATTTTACAGGGCTCTCTGTATTTAACCTGGCAACCCTATTTAGAAGAATAAGATCCATGCCTAACATAACTTTGTGTTCCCCTGCAATAGTACAGTGCCTTCCCCAACTGTTAAATATATGTTTGGAAACATGTTTCTCTGGTTTTTGCTTAACGTTGTATATCCCCAGAGACTAACACATTATCTGGCACACAAAAAAGGTCCAATAAATATTTCTTTAATGATATGCAGGATGAACGGTGATGGGGGAAAAAAGAAACTAAAGATAATTATTTCTTCAATGAGTAAATGAATCTTTCTAGAGCAATCTTCTATGGACTGGGTCGTGTGTGCATTGTAATGAAAGCTGATTATTTTTCTAGTGTTTTAAAAAAACAACAATGTTGCCGAAGCCGGTTTGGCTCAGTGGATATAGCGTTAGCCTGTGGACTGAAAGGTCCCAGATTCGATTCAGGTCAAGGGCATGTACATTGGTTGCGGGCACATCCCCGGTAGGGGGTGTGCAAGAGGCAGCTGGTCGATGTTTCTCTCTTATCGACATTTCTAGCTCTCTATCTCTCTCCCTTCCTCTCTGTAAAAAATCAATAAAATATATTTTAAAATAAATAAATAAATAAATAAATAAATAAATAAAACAATGCTTAATAAGCTTCTATTCGTCCACTTTTTCAGACTGGCAGAGGTCAGAGCTTAATGAGAACATAAGCAAGGGCTCAGAATGTACCTGTCGCGGACTGTGTCCGTATGCTCCAGGGTGGGAAAGCATCCCATCCTCAGGATGCCCACAGCCCGCCGCAGGCGCTCTGGCAACTCCTCCCCGGCCCCGGCCCCGCCCCGCCCCCGCCCCGCCCCCGCCCCCCGCGAGGGCTCCGCGCATGCGCATAGAGGCATTCGGCCTCGGGGAGGCGGGGCTTCCGGGCGCGTGCGCAGCGGCTTGGGCGGCGGGCCCCTCCCTTGGCGGGGGCGCGCGGCGCGGAGGACCGCACAGAGAGGGGAAGTCAGGTGGCCGCCGCCGCCGCCGCCTCCGCCGCCTCGGTTAGCAGCCAGCAGGAAAATGGCGGATCTGGAGGAGCAGCTGTCTGATGAGGAGAAGGTAAGAGCTGTGCGGGCGGCGGAGCCCGTCTCACCCGGAGCCCGCCGAGCCCGGCCTGTCAGCCCGGAGCCGGGCCGCCGGGGGAGGCATCGCCGTGCCCTCGCCGCCCTGCCGGCCTCCCTCCCCTCCGCCCGGTGCCTGCCCCTGTCAGTCACCCCGGCCTCGGGGCAGGTCCCGCCGGCCCGCTCCCCCGCTCCTTATAGGGCGTGTGCTCCGAGGCCGGGCGGGAGCGCGCGGCGGCGGCGCGGGCCTGGCCCCCGCGGGGCCGCGCCTGGGCGGAGGGGCGCGGGGCACCGCCGCGGGGGTGGGCGCCGGCCCCGGGCCCGGCCCGCTGTGGCCGGGAGGGTTCGGGGGGACCGTGTAGGAAGCCCATCTCCACTGGGCCGTCCTAACCCCGCCTTCCAGGAGCCGAATGCTTCCTCTCCCTACGGGTGCCCGACGCTCTCCCCCTTCCCGCGGCAGCCTCCTCTCTCCTCTCTGCACCTCTCTCCTCTCTCTCTTCCCTCCCCCCGTCTTTTTTTTTTTTTTTTTTTGGTCTTTTTTCGTCTTTAGCCGGAGGCTTTGTGCCTCCCGCGCTCAGCGGGCATTGCTCACCAGAAATGGGGGCCCACCCAGGGGTGCTTCCTGCCCAGGTCGCAGCGGGGGCCCCCACCCCGGGGGGGCGGTTTGCTGGCGCCCCTCCGTCCTGCCCGGAATTTCTCCCCGAAGAGGGGCGGCTGTGCAACTCCTTTCACTGTGTCCGAATGCGGTGACAGCTTGGGAGCCAGAGGCTCGGCTGCGGTTCTCATGCGTTTGAAGCGAGGAAACCGGTTATCGGACTAGTTCTCCCTCGCCGCTTCCTCCGGTTTCCTCTGGCTGCCCGTCCCCCCGGCGCCGTCTGGGAGCTGCTGGTCCTGAGTGGTTTCCTGAAAGGACCTTGGTGTGTGTCCCAGGCTCAGGAGGAACTGACATGTTCACGATGGTTTCCGCTTTCAGTGTCCACTCCTAGTTGGACAGTGTTTATTTTTTCTGCGTTCCAAAGCTGTGCAGCCCTGTAGGAATTAGGAAGCACAAACTCATCGTGGTGTTTTAGGAAGTCCTAACGTAAGCCTAAGGGTACTTTACGTTGAAATTTTCATCTCCAACTATTCTTAAAAATATATATTTTATTGATTTTTTACAGAGAGGAAGGGAGAGAGAGAGCCAGAAACATCGATGAGAGAGAAACATCCATCAGCTGCCTCCTGCACACCCCCCGCAGGGGATGTGCCCACAACCAAGGTACATGCCCTTGACGGGAATCGAACCCGTGGCCCTTCGGTCCAAGGCCGAGGCTGTATTCACTGAGCCAAAGCGGTTTCGGCTCCAACTATTCTTATATCCTGTGTTCTTGTATCAAAGTGTAATGTCCCATCTCCTTTCTCATGTCAATGTGCACATCAGCCTCATCTTCAGTTTTGGAAATCTCTTTCCTCTGGGCTTTTTGGTGAAAGTGATAACCTGGGGACAGCAGCAAGATTCTCCACAACCCAGAGCTGGTAGGCAGAGAGGTAGGTCCCTTCATACACAGGGTTGCTGTGCAGTTTTCCCATGTTAATAGTGGTGACTGTAAGCTGGTAACTGACAATGTGTGCTCCTTCGCACACCCATTTAAAATTAAGTAAAAGTTTGTTAAAGAGATTATCATGTTTTTAGTCCACGTTTCGTCAGTGGTGATTAGTAATTAAAGTGGCAGGAAATCTAGCTGAGGAGAGTACTCAGTGTGGGAGTTAATACAGACCTGACATGTGTTGGAAAAGCCTAAAATAGCCAAGCTTTTTCAAAGTTATATGACAAGATTCCTTATTATCAGGCACTCTCAGGGCACATCCATAAAGGAGGTGGGGTGTGTCTTTTTCTTTAAGCTTGTTCAACACACTGTTTTAGGAGTAAATGAATGACTGGAGGGCTGGGTAGGGGGGAAGGAGGGGAAATGGGAGGTAATCTGTAATACTATTAATAAAAATAGATTTTAAAGAAGTAAGAACAATCATTTAAAAAAAATGAATGAAAATTCTAATTTGAAGGGTTTTGGTGTTTCTGGGATTTTTGTTTTTGTTTTTTATATGTATGTTTTTCAGGTTTTTTCAAGAGCGATTTTAAATATAATGTTACATGCAATAAACCTTAATATTTCAAGAAAAACTAAAATATGTTACATGTAATAAACATTAATATCTCAATAAAAACTATTTTAAATATAATAATGTTACATGCAGTAAACATCAATTATTCAAGAAAGATGGTCAGTCTCTATGTGGTCTCTACCTTCGGTCCTTAAGTATCAGGGTTCTCGCCTGTGAGTTTTCTGTTGATTATTTAGGAAGTCTTTCCATATTTCAGTTGTAATTCCAGCTTGTTCCTCATGTTTTTGTTTCTGGTTTTGTAACACTATTTTGTACATATTTTACATGTGGATTTCATTGCTGTATTTAGTAATTTAAGGAAAACACTGACCAGTCTTGTGAATTAAATTCACATAACGGATTAAATGAAATTCTTGCAGCCTAGTCATTTTAGTATGGAATCAAAAATAGAACTTAAAGGTGACAATTTTTAAACTAATATTTAAATCATGTTACTTTTTTGCCACATTTTTTGTAATTTTCAAAAATATGCTTTTAATACTTTTAAACTCTTGGAATTCCATTATTGATTACAGATCTAAGGAAGGGGAATTGTTAAGACTTATGTAGTACCACTGGAGGCCGAGCGCACAAAAACGCGTGCATGGATATGGTCCCCAGGCCTGGCCTGCGATCAGGACTATCTTCCCGGCCTGCTGGCAGCCAGCCCTGCCCCCGCCACCACCCATCCCCAGTTCCCCGTTCACCATCCGATCCTGCCGGCCGGAGGGAAGGGGCTGAGAGGTTGGCTGTCAGGTCCTGATCGGGAAATTGGGGTCTAAGGGCAGGGGCAGCTCCTGTGTTGAGCGTTTGCCCCCTGGTGGTCAGTGTGCACTTAGCATCTGGTCATTCTGCTGTTTGGTCTAGTTGCATATTACCCTCTTATTATATAGGACTAGTGGCCCACTGCATGAAATTCGTACACATTAAAAGAGGGACCCAGAGTCACCCCGCCCACCCACATGCGCCTCAAAATTGTGTGAGACCCAGACAGGGCCACCACCCCTCCTCCTCCCATTGGGCTAGATCCAGATCCAGCCAGTCCCATCCTTGTCAACCCTGCTGGGCAGGGGGCATAGACTCAGATCTCCTGGCCAGGTGCCAGGATGGGGGGGCGTGGCCTGAGGTCCTTCAGATGGGGGGGGAGCATGTCTTGAGGTCCCCTGCCAGGTGGGGGATGTGGCCTGAGACCCCTGTCAAGCCCGCTGGGTAGGGGCATGGCCTGAGGTCCCCTGTCAAGCCCTGCCAGGCTGGGGAGCATAGCCTGAGGGCCCCCGGCCTGGTGCCTGGGTGGGGGGGTTGCGGCCTGAAGTCCCCTATCAGGCCCCACCTGGTGGGGGGAGTGCCCAGCCTGAGGTCCCTCATCCTGGCACTGGGACAGGGGGAGCAGCCTGAAGTCCCTTAGCCCAGCACCAGGATGGGAAACACACCTTGAAGTCCCCCGTCAAGCCCTGCCAGGTGGAGTCACGAACTGAGGTCCCCGAGCCTGAGGTCTTGTCAAGCCCTGCTGGGTGGTGGGGTGTGGCGTGAGGTCCCCTGTCAAGCTCCAGGGGGCAAGGGAGGGTGTAGCCTCAGGTCCCTGCTGATTGCTCCTTAAGGGAACTTGGCTTCAGCTTTGTGTGTAGCCATCGCTGTGATGGAGTGATGGTCAGTTAGCATATTCCCTCTATTAGATAGGATACTTGGTATATGCCTGGCTTGGTTAAACAATACATTCATTAATTTGTTGTAAGTTTGAGGTATTTTATTATTATCATTTCACAGATAAGTAAAATAAGGTTTCAAAGGCTAGGTAATTCACCCAAGAATATTTAAGAAGGAAGTGGCGAAGGTGTTATTTAATTCTGAATTTGTCTGAGTCAAAAGTTGATGCTCTTGTGGCATTAAGCTCCCTTTATCATTTGATGATAGGGACTCTTCTGCGTTTACCTTTTTGTTTTTAATTTGTTGACAGGTTATTGTGAAAAAGGACAAACAATACTTTTTAACAAAAATTATAAATACTAAACATTAAATAGTGTTGGTTTACTATCTCTCAATTGACCAGACTATTAAATTTAACTGTTGTTATTTATGCTATTAACTATTATTGTTTAGTAACAACATTTTATTGTACAGAATGCTAGTTGATTGTACCTGTTCTGTTGAGGAAGAAATAAAGCCAAATGAGGAAAAGTAGGATTACAAGAATGTCTTATATATAGTTTTTCCCTTCTGTTAGTCATTTATTGCAAAATTTCTAAACTAATCCCTCTCATTTCCTATATCTAAGCAATGTTTTAATTTGTCACTTTTCTATTCCCAAACTTAACAGTTGCTGGGTCCTTTGTGGATCTCTCAGCCTAGTTTTCTCTGAAGTGTGGGAATATAACAGAAGCACCTTCCCCATTTAGTTGCTGCAAAAATAAATGGTGCCTGGCATGTACTAAGTACACAGGAAATTATAGTTCTTTTTCTCTGCTCATGACTTAACCACTTTGACTGTTGGAACTGCTCCCTGGTCTGTCCCCTCAAGATTTAGCTTAGATCACATGGCAAGTGAAACCTCTCTTCTGAAAGCTATCACACATCATTAGTTTTCAACAATAGTTATTTGTTTACTTGACTTCTCTGTTGGGATTCCTAAGTGCAGAAATAATGTCATCTTTAGCATCTGTCATTAACATTGCATGTGATGAGTAGAGTGATTTAATGAGTGAATGATTAAAGGAATCATGAGTTCAGAAAATTAAAAGAAAAAATTTCATGAAAAGAATAAGTAGCATATAAAGGCAAATTTTTTTGAGGATACATTTGGTGTACCTGAATTTTTTAATTCTAAATAATGCTATAGATTTTAAAGACTCAGATAGTTAA